GTTCACTTAAGGTCATTTTTTTGTGTGAGAATAAACACCTTTTGTTATCCCATAATGATGACAACGTAAAGGAAAAGCGCATCGTTATAAATATTTTAGTCAATATAAATAAATAATTTTTTTGTATAAAAATAATAAGAAAAAAAAAGTGCCCCTGTGTTTCCACCTGTCAACATTTGCTAGGTAAGCGTTCTGCATTAAATTCTTGAATAATGGATGACAGCTATTTTCATATTGTAAACAAACTGTGCTGGAGCAGGATATAGTACAAGTGATCAGTAGATGTGCTCTGCGACGGGGGAGACAGGACAGGAAACGATGGTTTGTTTGGCTGGAGATGTAAACCGAACGCGACAGCCTGGCCTCCAATTTGCATGACCTGTTCCATCTCCCCAGCGTAACAGTGACAGGGAACAGAGCCAGTGACAGCAAACAAGTCAGATCTTCCCATACGTTTCCTCTTAAAGGTAAATTATTGTTTTTTTTAATATATGGGGTGTATGCAAGCAATTTAAAAGGAAAGAATAGTCTATTTTCAGTAAGCATATATTTTTAGGTATTATAGTGGTGTTTACCTTTAAGTATTTCTTTGTGTGACTTTAACATATTTGCTCTCTTTATTGAACAGCTGTTGAGATAAGATATCGTCCACACAGGGAGTGCATTGTTTTTACAGAAGAATTATGGGGAGAGTGAAATGCACTCATCCCCAGAATTAGAGCCGACATGTGACACTGAAGCTGTCACCCCTCAGCTCTATAGATCAGGAACTGAGCAATCACATACCACTAAGTGCTCAGTTCCTGATCTTCTCACTGCAGAGAGAGGTGACTGTCAGTGGAAATTCGGACAAATTTAGTTAAATTCGGAAATTTGGATGCATTCAAAATTCGGACACATCTGAATTCGAACAAATCTGAATTTTCATTCCGAATTTCATCCAGTTTTGTTCAAAACTAAACTAAATTGCACATCTGACTGTTCTCTGGCCAATCAACCACTGCAGACTAAAACGACCAGTATGGACTAAGAGGACCAGTACGGACTAAGATGACCAGTACAGACTAAGATGACCAGTAAGAACTAAGAGGACCAGTATGGACTAAAATGTAAATATGGACTAAGAGGACCAGTACAGACTAAAATGACCAGTATGGACTAACAGGACCAGTATCGACTAAGAGGACCAGTACGGACTAAGATGACCAGTATAGACTAAAATGTCCAGTACAGACTAAGAGGACCAGTATGGTCTAAGATGACCAGTACAGACTAAAATGTCCAGTACGAACTAAGAGGACCAGTATGGACTAAGATGACCAGTAGAGACTAAAATGTCCAGTGCGGACTAAGATGACCAGTACCGACTAAAATGTCCAGTACGGACTAAGAGGACCAGTATGGACTAAGACGACCAGTACAGAGTAAAATGTCCAGTACGGACTAAAATGTCCAGTGCGGACTAAGATGACCAGTACGGACTAAAATGTCCAGTGCGGACTAAGATGACCAGTACGAACTAAGATGACCAGTACGGACTAAGATGACCAGTACGAACTAAGATGACCAGTACGGACTAAGATGACCAGTACAGACTAAAATGTCCAGTACGGACTAAGAGGAACAGTACGGACTAAGATGATTAGTACAGACTAAGATAACCAGTATGGACTAAGATGACCAGTATGGACTAAGATGACCAGTACAGTCTAAGATGACCAGTAAGGCCTAAGATGACCAGTAAGGACTAAGATGACCAGTACGGACTAAGAGGACTAGTATGAACCACGAAGGTCAGTACAGAACTAAAAAAATTTTTTTTTAAATAAGTTCATTTTTAATTAAAGTACCCCATCCTGAACAGATTCAAAATGAAAAATTCGGATCGATCCTCAATGAATACAAAAAAATCAAATGGTTCCAAAATCTGAATGATGAATATTGAAGCAAATCAAATTTGGGATCCGAAATCTGGAAAAAAAAAAATCTGAATCAATCTGAAACAAAACTAAACAAATTTCCTGCAGGTTTACATGTCTAGTTTATATGTTTTTCTACTTCATTATTAATTCTCATTAAAATTTGTTACATTATCATTACCTGTTTGATTATTATAGACAGCTCCTACTTTGGGATTCCGTTTTTTTCAGGGAACCTTGCTTATTATATATGTAGCATTTACTCTCTTTAGGAGCTGCTGGAATATTCTCTAGCCCTTCCCAGTGGTGACCCGACCTAACTGTACCAGAAACTCGCCATCACACTAGTAGCATTAAATGGGTGTTATTTAAGAGAGAACAAAAGGCTGCAGATCAAAATTGGTTGAGGGAGCATGGCAATGACAAGGCAAACCTAATAACAATTTCAGTACCATACATGTTATAATTTGTTATAAAGCACAACAATATGGCCTGTCTGTAATTCAGAGGCCCTAACTATAGACCGGCCAGAGGGTATCTAACATAAAGTCTGCTGGAGCTGCAGCCCATAGACTCTAGCACTTTCCCTCTCTATCGATAGTACATCCCAAGGAAGGTTATGAGTTCCAAGGCTGACTCTTCATGTTGTTCCCAAGCAATCAGCAACCACGTCGATATCATTACTGGTAGCAAGAGGCCTCTCACCAATATTGCCAATCATTGGTCTTTCCCTGGAGGTCAGACAACAGTGAGCGATGACCCCACAATTATTGCTGTCACTCCAATGCAATGTATACCTGGTGTGTCGCAACTGTCGTTTTCACACAACAGGCAGGATGCCTGTTTGCATTTGAAAGTGCATGCATGTTGGGGTGGAGGGCTTTAAAACATTTTTTGTGTCATTTTAATTTTTTATACTTTTTTTTTTACATTTAACTTTATTGCAAGCCCACTATGTGATAGCACCTAGGAAGTGACAAATCTTCTTTATGAAGATATCAAGGGGTCTATTAGACCCTTAATGTCACCTATTGACCCTACTGAAGCTGCCGCCACCTTTAAAAATCACCTAATGTTAGTAGTTCCAAAATGTACCTGTTAAGAATAAGAGTTATACCTACTTTACCCCATCTTATATCGCTTCCCATGATGTCACTTCCTTCCAGGAAGATTCCCGGGGGAATGCAGAGCAGGCTCAATCTTGTGAGAAGAAACTTCAATCCATTACAAGCGACTTCTCAATAGATTTTGGCTGCTCTTTATTCCTCAGGATCCCGCCGGAAAGATGGTGACATATCTGCGCCTAGGCTCTGTGGGCGGAAGACAGGGGTGAGCTTAAATCTAACCTTTTTTTTTTACAGGTAGAGAGCTAGGAGAGACAGCTAGGGGAGAGACAGCTAGGGGAGAGACAGCTAGGGGAGACAGCCAGGGGAGGGAGGAGAAACAGCCAGTAGAGAGAGAGGAGAGACAGCCAGGAGAGAGAGAGGAGAGACAGCCAGGAGAGAGAGAGGAGAGACAGCCAGGAGAGAGAGAGAGGAGAGACAGTCAGGAGAGAGAGAGGAGAGACATTCAGGAGGATGAGAGAGGAGAGACATTCAGGAGGATGAGAGAATAGAGACAGCCAGGAGACAGAGAGAGAGAGGAGACAGCCAGGAGAAAGAGAGAGGAGAGACAGCCAGGAGAGAGAGGAGAGTCAGCCAGGAGGATGAGAGGAGAGACAGCCAGGAGAGAGAGAGAGGAGAGACAGTCAGGAGGATGAGAGAGGAGAGACAGCCAGGGGAAAGAGAGAGGAGAGACAGTCAGGAGGATGAGAGAGGAGAGTCAGCCAGGAGGATAAGAGGAGAGACAGCCAGGAGGATAAGAGGAGAGACAGCCAGGAGAGAGAGAGAGGAGAGACAGTCAGGAGGATGAGAGAGGAGAGACAGTTAGGAGGATGAGAGAGGAGAGACAGCCAGGAGAGTGAGGAGTGATAGAGGGCAAAACATCTGCCTGTAGCAGAACCCATGTGCCCTTCAAGACTTCTCTGCACCCTGTGTTTCAGTCGCCTCTCTGCTCCCCGAGTTCCAGCTTCCCTCCATGTACTAAAGTTGGAACACCAGGACCCCGTGGCTTCCCCTTTCCACCTGACATCTTGTGTCCGGGTTTTAGCTGTCCGGGTTTTCACTTTGTTTGGCTGAAGAAGAAACCGCTGTCCACTCCGAAGCGCTGCCATAGATTGTGAGACCTGATTGGATGTCAATAAACAAGGTGTGACATTCTGGGAAACCAGGAGTGCTGGTTCTTTCTGCAGGCATTACGGGTTTTAGCTGTGTCAACCCTAAGTGAGCTGGAGGGGAGGAGGAGAGTGAGGGGAGCGAAGAGCAAAGTAATTATATTGCCAAAAGTTTGTGGCTAAGTTGCTGTTGTTCTCAGTTACTTCCACTTTGTTATAATACCAGTAACAGGTGACCGTGGAATATTTAGTAGCAAGGAAATGTGACGGATGGACTTATTGCACAGGTGACAACCTATCATGGTACCACGCTTGGATTCACTGAGCTCCTGAGAGTGACCCATTCTTTCACAAATGTTTGTAGAAGCGTCTGCATGCCTAAGTGCTTGATTTTATACACCTGTGGCCATGGAGGTGATTGGAACACCTGAATCCAATGATTTGGAGGGTTGTCCCAATACTTTTGGCAATATAATGTATGTAAAACTTCTTGTTATTGGTAACCAAGACAAAAAGGTGCATTTAACCCTTGCAGTGCATGAGGAGCCCCAGTTCAAGGGTAGGTTGTTTTTTTTTTTTTAGTCCCCCGGATTTAAACTTTAACAAGAAATAACACAGGCAGCAAAAAGGGTTAAATAATGTATTTTATTATTGGGCAACTTTTTAGTAAAAAATAAAAATCATAATTACAACTAAATTACCTGTGCCAACAATGCCCTTTTCGTCAGTTTACACTACATGGGGACCACATACCCAATTTGACATTCCTTACAGTCACAGGCAGCAGACTCATTTTGCACCAAAACAATGAACATTTTACTACATTTCCCGGCGTGCTTTGCGCGGGGGCGGGGCTCCCCTTCCCCCGACGTGCTTGCGTAGTGGCCGCGCTGACGTATTCCCAGGAACGCGTTCCAGAACGTAGCCCGGGACGTTGCTGTGGTAGCGGCGCGCGCCATGTTGGGACAGACGGGAAGCGGCTAGGCGGCAGGTTCCGGCCGCTCTTTGTTGTTGTCACAGCCGGCTCCGCCTCTCGGTGTGTGCCGGCTTCCTCATGCCCAGGGGGTCGCGGCTGGCGGGAGGACCAGGGTCACCATGCCTTTGTGAGTATTGGTAGGGGGTTTCTCCGCTCGCAGGTGACGTCGTGACCCTGCTGCGGGGCGAATAGTGCAGCATCGTACAGGGCCACGGTTCTGGGCCTGGGTGGCCAGCCTCTGTGCCGGTGGGGTTCAGGGGGCTGGCCATGCAGGTGAGGCGGCTATGGAGGACCGTTGGTCCTATTTAGTAAACAGTGCCAAGAGCAAAGTGCGGGCACCCGGAGCAGCCAATCAGGGCTCGCTTTACTTTTACCAGCCCGGTGCTGGATGGGTTGTGGTTGCCATGGTTACTGCTCTTTCCGCTTACAGCTTGGCTCCATGCTCTGGTTTTGTTGTCAGCCAGTTCGGCCTCTGTGCATCCATCAGCCATTGTTGTGGATCAGAGAGATGACTCCTCAGGGATGTCGCAGCCTCTCCGGAAAACCAATCAGGTTCAGACTTCTGGTCTCCAGCTCGGCTTTGTGTCTGGTTGGTTGTTGTCAGGTGATAGGCCCTGCTCACACCTGTGTGTTTTAGGTGCGCTGTGTTGCTTGTTGCCCTTTTGATGTGCTCGTATAGAGCTCAGTGGTACTGCATGATAAATGCACCACACAGGTGTGCACCGAGCATTATAGGCAGTTGCACATGACCTGAGATCAATAGCCATGACCTGTCAAAACATATATATTTGTAATTATTGGGTGGAGTGGCATATGATTAGATCCCCTGGTGGGTTTTTACTGTTATCTGCATTAGGGCCCCTTCACACTAGACAGGGGCTCAATCCAATAAGAAGCTGAACTTCATTGTTTCCAAAAAGTTCAATTCCCACAAATGCATTGCGTTGATGTGCGCTGGGTGAAAATGGAACATGCTGCAATTAACACAGCGCAACATGTTAAAAGATGTCACACATGTTATAACACGTCACAATGAGCTGCAAAGGAAATCTATACTCTCCTCCCCTCCAACAATGCAACGGCTGGGAGCTGCCTTGCCACTGCCGCCATCCTTGACTTGCTTTCTTTCGGGTTCAAGGACCTTTTTCAATGGCAGTGCCTGGATGATGTAACTCCCGCACATGTGCGGGAGGTCGTTCAACCTGGGATATGCCGAAAGTGTACACTGGCTTGCTCATGCGCAGCTCATACAATGTACATTGTCAGGAAGATGGCATACGGGAGGGTAAGAAACCTTGTTTGTAGAAGAGACAACCGCCACTTTCACACAGGCGCTTCAGTTTTGATCAGCAGGGGATCCATGCACGGATTCCTTTGCTGATCAGAACGGATGTCAACATTTTGACATCTGTGTCTGTCCAGTTTTTTTTCCTCCAGCCTAAACCCCCCCCCTCCCCCGGTTTACATCAGATTACCCACCATCCACCAGAAATCCACCACAATCAGGTCCACTGAAATGGAACTCTGATCCGTTTGCTCTCCTGGACCTGGCCAGAGTCGGGGGTAATTTTCATCTAAATAGATGCACGTCCATTTGGATCCAGCTACCCATAGACTAACACTGGGCTTCCGATGAGATCCTCCTGAAAAACTGACAGGTGGGCCTGATCGGAATGCCTGGCACATAACGTTCACATGGCACTAGCGCCCCTACAGAGCATATATGCATGTGTTGGGGTTCACTATAATGCAGGTGACTTGCAGCGCATTGTAGATATGCATTGGGGGTGTAATTAACTGTGCATTGCAAAGTTAACTGGCATTCCTCGATCAGCTGATCGAAGGAGCTGGCTGGTAAATCTTCGTACGATCAGACCTGGCAGCCAATGAGCTGCCCTCTCTGATCGGCTATTCTGACAAGTGCTGGTGGCACCTGTCAGAACACAATGCAAATAGCGGCAATTCCTCGATCGACACGCTGTTTGTGTTGATGGAGGAAATCATGTAAATGTTTTTTCATCCAGCCTGCGGGTTCAACGAAAAATAAAAAATGATAGTTGTAGGGCCAACCTTACCATGTGTTGTGGACAAGTATGTCATAACATGGGCTATAACATGAGTTATGGGGTGAATGAGCCCATGGTGAGAGCAAAAATATCCAATGGAGCTCTGGAGAGCAGTAAAAACCTGTCGGGGCTTCCTATCCTTTTCTTCCCTGATCAAATGTTTTGGTTTATTATGTTCCTGAGCAGCGATGGAGTAAAATAGACAATCTGGTTATGTGCAGCAAGTGCATTTCTTATTTATTCTCAACTTTGTGGCTTGTTGAGCGGTATTTGTGTTGTGCGCCTGTTTTATGACAGCTATTATTTTGTGTATGCCAGTCTACTCCAGTGCCCACTAAATTGGGGTTAGGCCAATTGCTTTCTAGATGTGGCATATGCCTGAAGCATCTGACTGGTATGAAAAGCTGGGACTGGAGGACTTGCTGCTGCTTACATTTATTTCAGAGCTCTGTGTCGCTGTTTGTATGAAAAGAACTATAAATGTAAAGTCTTTTGAATAGGCAAGGAAACGGATAACGTTTTCGTCTGTGGCCCTAATGAGGAGATTTCCCTCTTACTTCCTGTCCCTGGGATGCGCATGCAGGAAGGGTAGTGTGGGCATTCCTGAGGCAGAAAGGCACAGGCTGCCTTAAGGGCCTGTTCACATGAGTTTCAGGTCCAGATCAGGTGCGGATCTGCAGACGCGGTGCTATGTGTTTTTGATGCGTTCCAGTAAAAAAAAAAATTTTTTTTTTTTTTGCTGGAGTGGGTCTGTCATTATGTTAGCTGCAGTGCAGTGCGTTTTTGACGCGTTTTGCGTTTCCTGACCGTACAAGATGTGACATGCAGTATTTTTCTGTCGTAACCTGAACGGACTGCGCACGTGAGAACTGTAGCCCATAAAACACATAGGGATACATTGCAATGCATTTTTAGTGCAGGAGCGTACGTAACAGGTCCGTACAGAAAACGGACGTTGTGTGAACAGGCCCTAAAACATGGCCAGCAGTTCTAACCTTTGCCACTGTACACAATATAAAGATGCCCATACACTGTGCGATAATCACGGGGAAATCCCGCGATCACACGATAATCGCAAAGTGTATGGCAGGCGTGCGACCGTTCTTACTGTACGGTCGCACATCTTTTGTCTAAGGGGCATGTTCGAAAAACCAGCCGAAAATCTGACGATTTTCGGCTGGTTTGTGGCATGCTCGGGAGACAAATGCCGAACGGGCAAAAATTGATGTTTTTTTTGTGCATTCAGGGGAAGCCCAGGTGCGGCGTACACATCTGTACTTCTCCCCCCCCCCTTGCGATGATCACAAATACGATCTGCCTGTCCAAGATGGGCAGATCGTACGTTTTTTTTCATCACTTTACAACCATCGCAAGATTAAGGTCAGTGCGTGTTTTTTTCATCACTTTACAACCATCGCAAGACCTTGGTTGTAAAGTGATGAAAAAAACATACGATCTACCCATCTTGGACAGGCAGATCTTATTTGCGATCATCGCAAGCCCGCCATGTTGAACGGTCTTGCCATGGTTGTAAAGTGTATGGCCACCTTATGTTTTTGTCTGTGCCACAATTGCAGAGATTTCCCATCGCTTCCTGTCATAAGAGGAAGTGAGGGACAATCTTCACTACAGGGACACAGATGGCAATAAAACCTGAGAGAAACTCTAAACCAGGGGTGGGAAAACTCCAGTCCTCCGATGTTGAAAATACAAATCCTATCATGCCTCGGGGAGCCATACCTGTGGCTGTCAGTGTCTTTCCTCATGGGATTTGTAGTTCCACAACAGCTAAAGGGCCAGATTTTGCCTACTCGAAACCATTCCCACACTTATCTAAAACCAAATAATCTTTTGACTGGAGTGGTGCTTTTAAATATACGCACACAGAACTCTTAACACTAACGTGTGCATGGCTTCTCTAGGGACTGTAAAAAATTTTGGTGTCATGTAATTAGATTTCTGAAGGTAAAATATGGTCATTGCTCCAATGTTTATAAAACATCCCTTGTATTTTTTTCCTGTATATACTTTGTGCGTGGCCCATTCAGATTTCTCATTGTTTTCTCTCACTTGTGTTAGTGCTAAGAAAACAAATGAACTAATGATATGAAAAATCTACCTTCTCAGTGGGGCTTCCCCTGTCCTTCCTGCACTGCAAGGGTTAAACATTCATTATTTTTTTTTAATCTAGGGTAACATTAAAAAGCAGTCTTAATTACCTTATCCCTCACTCCCACAGGTTTCCTTCTCACCACTTGACCGGTCACTTGTAGCCGCTTCTATTTCTCACTCTTTCGGTCATACTCTGACATCCTTATGTACAACGCTGGAACAGCAGTCCTGCACTGTAAGTGAGGACTTGCCCACAACTTGGAGTGTCGGAGGGAAGGGGAGAGTGGTGCTGGGGGAAGCAAGGGATAAGAGAAGTAAAACTGCTTCTTAGTGGTAACCTAGGCAAAAATTAGTATTCAACCCTTGGAGTGGTGGAATGGGGGGCAGTGGTGGTAGTGTTTGGGGTTCTTTTTTAATTTCCCCAGCGTTCAGCTCTATTGTGAATGGGCTGGCAGTGCACGTTCATTTTTGTAAAACCAGACACAATGGGGGGAATTTATCATAACTTGAGCAGATTTGCACTGCAACCAATCGGCTTCTCTGTCTCATTTTCAAATCTTACCGGAGCAAACTGAAGAGAGATGATGATTGGTTGCCATGGGCAACTGCTCCAGATTCTGTCTGCTCCAGTATTGGTAAATTCCCCTCAGTATGTTGTGGTGCAGTGCAGTGCTGCTGCTTTGCTTGCTACTGTAATAGTGCATTGGATTACTGATTTCAAAATGCCCAGATTGCTTATACATTATAATGCAAATATAGAAAATGAATGGTGCACCCACACACATGTCACTGCAATTTCTGAGTTACAGTAAATTGCAGTGACATGCTTGTTCTGAATTTGGCCTAAATATTTACTGTAGTTGCTGTTTTGTAAAATGTATCCTCATGGTTTGGACGCCAGCTGCAAGATATGTTCTCATAGATGTTGTCATGAGTTTGACCTCACCAG